AAAAAAGAAAGATATTCAATTTTCCTACTTTAACACATTTCTATACTCACATTATTGTTTAATGGAGCACAAAATTAAGCAGCAGTTATTACATATTTTTTAAAATTTTAAGTGTGCTATGTGAAATTTTATATAATACCACAAATTAAATCAGACTCATGAATAAACTGTTAGATTAATCAACCAGTTAGAGATTTTGTGAATATATCGATGTCAGAGTTCTGCTCTGATAGGAAGCATATCAATTATAGATTTGAAGCATTAATTACTATTTATGAATCTCTGGAACATTAGGGCTTACAGGGAAAGGTTCTAATTCTAGAACCATAAAAAGATGAGACTCTACATATCTGAAAGATAAATATTTGTGTTGTTGTTATTGTTATTAATATTTATAGTGACGTTGATTCACACAGTGTGGCCCTACACAATGAATTGTTCTTTTGTTTCTAATCTATATATTTGTGACTTGTATCAGAAATGGTCAAAAGCAGTTTCATCTTGAATAAAATATTTGTAAGACTTCATGAGTGACATCGCTTTGACGACGAGGCTGAGCAGCTGGGAGAGTCCAAGTGTGGGCTTCTTAAAATACAATGGTGCTGCATTAATCCTAGAAGGAGCACTGACTTGGAGGTTGGAACCAGGGCCCGGGGTGGTGGGGAAAGCCAGGAGCCTCAGGCCGGAGCCGAGCTGGAAAACAGGAGCCCACAGCAGGGCCCGGTGCGCAGCGAGGAGGCAATCTTGCCAAGGCAGGACTGAAAACGTCCCCAGAAAAATGCAGTAATTCCCCCCAGGAAAAAAGTGCAAAGCTGAAGAACAAACCCAGTGAGCTAAGACCCCCAGATCTGAAACCCAAGACTCTGAGCAGAGAGAGCAGGGGTTCATCAAGCAGTTAAGCAAAGAACCACGACAATCAGATTTGTGTGTGTTTGTCAAAAAACATATCTTACACTGCCTCACGTTTGGGTAACCGGTATGTTTTCATTTAGTTAAGGGGCAGAAGTGACAGTGACACACTTGTATTGTCACCTGCATGGTGCCCAACACACTGTCCTCTTTTTGATGGTCCTGGGGAACGTGCTTTTAATTAAAGCATAAGTCTATTTTCAAAGCCAGAATCCTTAAGATCTAGCGAATCCTAGACCAGGAAATCGTTTCATTTACGGAGAAGTATGTGTACCTGTAAGCAACCACGTTTCACTCAAAACTCATCTTTTTGGCGTGACGAAAGGAAGAAAACTCAGCACGAATGGGACGCATGTGTACTCCGTGTGTGTAGGCTCACTGGTGGACATGTGTCCTGCAGCCTCACACCCATCCATGCCCAACGCCAGCCAGCAGGGCTGGGAGTCCTGTTGCATCTCGTTACGTATTGCAGTTTACGAAGAACTTCTGTTCCTTCCTCCACTTCCTATGCTTCACAGAGGCTTCCAGACCACTGCTGTGCACTGACAAAGAATAAGGATGAAACGAGGAGGGAGTAATAGAGTCACAAAGGCGAAGAGAGAAGAGAGGAGGGAATAATGAATCTTTCTGGGGGTCAGAGAAGCTTTCACAGAGGAGGCGCTGCTCCAGGACGACCTTACAAGAGGAAGAAGCGTGGACGGGAGTGCCCGGGCAGAAAGGGAGTTTCACTGAAGAGAGGAGAGAGAGAACAAAAGGGTTGGAAGTAGGAATCTCAATCTGTCCTTATTTAGTCTCAATCTCTCCTCCCATTCCTCACAATCCTCGGGATGTATCTAACCACTGAAGGGACTTCCAGAAGCTACCTTCTCCCAAATGCACCTGACCTCTTACTTTCCACCAACATTCATTTTGGGGTGCTCTAGTGATTGTGCTCCTACGCTGGACACTGGTGGCTCATTCCTAGTGTCACGACAACCCCACATTTCTCTGAATGAAGGCTTAAGTCAATCCGGTTTTTTTTTTTTAAAGATAATGCTGGGTTAATTAATTATCACCTAGGTTTACAGAAACAATGCTTCCTGAAGGGATGTCTAGGTTAGCAATCTCATTTTTAAAGAAAATACCAAGAATTAGTACTGGTTTTATTCCCAACCTTTTGACTGAGTCAACAGCAGGTAAGTAACTTAGTCACTGTTTCCAGGTTTGGCGTTCATCTTCACAAGTTCGCCATGATTTGGCCGGAGTGTTCTGTTGCCAATGTACTACACATAT